CAGGCAGAGAGAGAGAGAGAGAGAGAGAGAGAGAGAGAGAGAGAGAGAGAGAGAGAGAGAGAGAGAGAGACACACACAGAGAGAGAGAGAGAGAGAGAGAGACACAGAGAGAGAGAGAGAGACAGAGAGAGACAGAGGGAGAGAGAGATGTAGAGAGATGTAGAGAGACAAATGAACAGACAGACAGACCGACAGACCGACAGGCAAAACACACGGAACAAAACACACAGAACAAAACCGTCCTGTTGAGTGTGCTACCCACGGGGGAGATATCGCTGTGTGCTGCTCGGGGAATCGTACGAGTGCAGGTTGGCCATACAACATGCATAAATTGAACAAATACCCTCGGGACTTACAGATGTGTGGATAGATTTGAAAATCTGTTCTGTCTTCATTAGAACAAAAAATAGGGCGCAGCACACACAAGAGCACAGCAGAAAAACATTTGGTGCGCGGATCAAAGTAGATGGGGACCATCGGCGGTAATATCACTGCACTTGCATTGCATCTCAGTTATTTGGGCATCAGGACACGGATCTCTGCGACGCTGCTCCATCTCCCGATACCGCATCGTCATGTGCAACGTGTATATCGCGGGTTTTGAAGCCCAACCTCTAGGTATCGAGCCCGGTCGGCTTCAAAATCTGGACTTGACAAAGAAGGCGCAACACTGCTGCAGAACTTCATGGTATGATCGTCTTGAAGATCATCAACAACAACTACGACAACAACAACAACAACAACAACAACAACAACAACAGCGACAACAAGATGAGACGAACGCTGTGGGGGGGAATCGCTGTCCTCTTTGCCTTCCTATTCGACTCCTTTTAAATAGAAGTAAGAAGTACGAGTGTTATACAGCAACAATATCGCCAATCGCCCCGACCCGCTGCCTGATGAGCCAAAGGGCTCGTCTAGCTACAATCGACTCATCGGTGCCAAACCTACTCTCTGGCGGACCGCCTGCGCAGGATTTAACCCCAAAGCACGGATTGAATATATCATTTTCACTAATCATTTCAATATACTAAAAGTAGAGTAGTTTATGCGGCTCGACGACTGATCTTTTCGAGGTCTACAAGCCTAACCTGCCCCAGCGGCCACACCGCGACCACACATCAACCCTTCTATGACCCTGTCTGTGCCCACCGTCTTGTCGCGGGCAGCCCTCATCGCATATGGGTGGAGATACCTGTTGCGTCTACAGAAGTACACTAGTCTCTTTCTGCTGTACTTCTGTCTCTCTCCCCGCACTCTCTCCCCTTTTTTTTTTGCCGCAAAAAAGGAGGAGAGCTAATAAAGACCCAAATAGTTTTTGCTGCGGAAACTACTGTATCTCCGGCTCATCGTCCATCAAGCAAGGGCCACCAAGAGTGGCGCGATACGTGCCGGATTGAATTTCTTTTAGCCAATTCCCCCCCCCCCAACGCTCACCATTGCACCAACCCCCCACTAGTGATGACGTACCACTACAATGTATCGCTGGTTGGTGGCCATGTTTGCGTGTTTGCTTGTCGTTAGTGGTCTCTCCACCGTGTGCCTTTTTCTGTCTCTTACTTCTTGTTATTGTCGGCCTGGTCCCTTTTTGTCCTCGCTCTGTTTATTTCATTTTCTCTTTCCTGGCTGTTTCCTTTTATTTTCTTCTCTTTTTCTCTTTTCTCTCTTTTTCTGTGCCAGATGGCCTTGTCTCTGCTTGCGTTGTGAAGTACCAAGATTGATCCAAGGGGGTGTACCTCATTCTCTCCGGCCCGTGATGGTGACTCCTAGTCTCAGTTGTTACCTCGCATAGCGCGCAGAGGGAGTGGAGGACTCCAGAATATCTGTCGTTGATTTCTACTAGTATTGACTTGCGGACCCCTCGGGGCCATTTTATTTGAGTGTACCTTTTTAGGGTAAGTTAGCCTGCGACAACGGGAATCGACCGCGTCGAGTGTTGTATCAGTACGGACATACGAGGTACTGGGTAGAGAGAGATCGGAACGGTTTACAATGTGAAGACAACAACAATAACAATGTACCAACAACAACAACAACAATAACAACAACAACAACAACAACAAGAGAGCAATAATACTGCAGCTGCACCGCCTAAGCACCCAACAAATGCGTTATTCTCCCTCTGTTCAAAAGAAAAATCTTCACCTCTGAAAGCTCTGAATGCAGCCCCAGCACGGCTAACCGTCGCCGTTCCTCCTGCTGCTGTCGTTGAAGTCTCTCCCTGCCCCTGCTGCTGCTGCCGCTGCTGCTGCTGCCGCTGCTGCTGCTGCCGCTGCTGCTGCTGCCGTGCATCGTGTTACTCTCGACGATTTGCGAAGGCAAACACTATGGCGAGGTTGTAAAGCCGCAGGAGATGGAGCCCATGCCCGCAAGTCTCGGCAATTCTATAATCCGAGGTATGCCCTTCACACGTGGACGCCGCCGGCAACGCCGACACACGTACGTACGTATGTCCTTCGAAGAAGGAACGCTTTTTAATACAATCTCCCGGGTTGTGGCGGGACTGTGAACAAAGGAAAAAATCAAGCTAAATACCTTAATCAAGCTTGATTTTCACCTTTGGCCACCAACAGCTGCTGCGGTTCGCTTGGGACCTTAGTCCAGCTGCTACCTTCTCCTTCTGAAGAAGGCTGGTTTTCTTTTCTCTCGATGGGGTTGCCGCCTGGCAGGAATCCGTGCAATGTACTCGCAGCGGTAGGAGGCAGAGACAGAACGCGCCGGACGAGATGAAGCGGCGACAGGCAGACTGCCGACTGCCCGACAGAGCGAAAGAGAGAAAGAGAAAGAGAGAAAGAGAGATGCACACACACAAAGAGTTTCTCCACGTGCGTACCGCTTCTCCTTGTCCCGATGTCTCCGAAGGTCAGCGAAAAGAGTACCACTTTCCTTCTGTGCTAGGTGTAGTGCTGTCGAAGGGAAGGGGAGGCCCTCCCTGTCTCATAGGGGACCTTTTTGATGTACAAACGCCACTTTGCATTTTATCATGCAATCATATCAACCCCCCCCTCCATCTCCCGCAAATTCTTGGGACCCTAGTGGACCGGTGAGCAAAAAAAATAATCTTGGGCGAGGACAACAGCTACACCGAGCTCAATCCACCACCCACTCACACACCACACCAGATTAGCAGCCAACCACCCCAGGCCCCACACGCAGTAGTCACGCCCAATACCAGAGGAAGTATCCGTTGTTGCAGCAACACAGCGAGGGCCAGGCATCGAGGGAGAGAGGGAGTGCGGTGTGGATCCGAGCATCATTTTCGACAACTACAACAGCAATCAGAGGTGTCGATTTGAGAAGGAGGGAAGATAGCGCAGCCGCTGGACTATTATCTACCTGCCCTCTCAGCCGGTGAGTAGAGTGAGTGATCTGTGTGGTGTCCTCAGCATGCCGTACTTTTTGGATTTTGATCGGGAGCGTGGGTGGGACTGCTGTTTTGATCCGACCCCCACCTGCTGTACAACGCTTGAAACAATTCAACACCTGGACGTAAAACAACGGCGAACGTACATAGCGTTGATTATCACCAACCCCGCTCTCTCGCAGCACGATGTGCGGTGGCTGCTTATGTCCCCGTACACGTTACCCGCAATGCGCTGCCGTGCTGTGCGCCATCAGGACTAACTAACCCCTGTTTTTTTTCGAAGGTAGTTTGCAAGAGATGTTGGTGCGACAACATGCAGTACACATGAATCCACTGCAATTGTACGTACGCTAAGACTCTGCTTGATACCGGAAGATTGAATCCTGTACCCATCACCACATTAGCCTACCATGTTACAGCAGTGGTAAAGAGCTTTCAGAATAACAATCCACCGTGTTGTTTTGGTTGGCTTGATGCGCATGTGGGCATCAACAGAGATCCCTACGGCAAGGTGTGTCGTATCATCACCAAGCAGCAGTAGTAACATGTACCATCCACTCTCGATCTTTCCTCAAGGACAGCCTCCCCTTCCTTGTTTGACTGCCGCGCCTGCCCTGTTCGTTTTTTTGTTCGTCTGTGAAACCGTAGACTGAGTAAGTGACCTGGTAGGAACAAGGCTAGGCTAGATCTAAAAATCAAAAGTTCAAGAGATGGCATCATCGAAGGACCCGCGTTGGCCACGCCTGCTGCCACGTCCTCAAGGAAGAAACAAGACCACCCAGCAGGAGCACCAGAAGCTGGGAGCGGTGGAACAATCATCAGGGCCGGACGCCACCGCTACCAGCCCCGGGAGGACCCCGATATCGCCGGGCTGTGCGCGGGCTAACGGTACCGACCGCAACACGTCCAAGCTCACAGTGGTGGGCTCCGGGCGCCACCGACCCCCGTCGCTGGTCTGTCCCTCCGCGCACTCCGCCACCACGGCCGCCATCGATAAGCCGCCCCCGACCATCGTCGTCTTCAACTCGCCCATGTCATCCGCCACTAGCTCTGCTGCCGACGCCGCCACCGCCGTCGCCGACGACAACAATGTCGATGGTGACAGCAGCTCCGTCGATGCCGGCTCGCAGTCCAACAACAGCTCGGGATCCGACTGGGCCGCCCTCTGCCACCACCCTTCCGGCGCCAACGACAACAACAGCAACAGCGCCGTCAGCCCGGCGGCGGGGGGAGAACTCCGTCAGGACTACGCTGCCGCCGCCCAGTTGCTCGGCGTCCCGACAAGGATCATCTCGACGACGGAGAGTAGGTCGAACCCTCCGTCTCCTACCGGTAGCGACGAAGCAGCCTCAGTGGGTAGTATCCCGGCCGACCAGCAGCAGGAGAAGAAGGAGGAGCAAGAGAGGAGGAAGCAGCGGAGGGAGGCGGACTTGCTTCTCCAGGCGGGCATTGCGCGGGTGGCGGGCACGGCTCGCTCGTCGTCGCTTTCGCCCGCTGCTGGTGCTGCGTTGGACCAGAGGAGGAACACACACGGCGGCGGCGGCGGCAGCGGCAGCGGCAACATTCGCAGCAAAGCGCTGCCGCAGCCGCGTCCACTTCAGCTGTGGTCGCCGTGGCGGGCGGCAATGACTGAGGGCGACGACAGCGAACCCGGCGGCGCAGCAGGTGCGATAGTAGATGTCTTTAGTCGTAGCGTAGCGATCAACCCCACGCGTGTTCTCCACTAAGTAGAAGAGACGTAGAAGAGACAAGAGCAATGACAACGGCAGCGACAATGATCGCGAAATTGTAGTAAACAACAACAACAACAACAACAACAACAACAACAACAGCGCTCGCTGTTTAGAGCAAAGCCAAAGAGGTAGCAGTTGGACTGTTGGACTGTTGGACTGTTGGAAGGAAAGGTGGTTGTGTGTTCTCCTTGGTTCATTGTTCATTACTGTTTTCCGAATCCCCTTTACGGTTTCATTTCACCCCCTTAGTGTCGGGAACCCATCAAAATATAGTATGCCATCAAATCAAGTCCAGTGGGGACATGGGCATGGTTCTACGTCGGTATTCCGCCGATATGTTACCCACCCCACTCGCGACTGTCCCGCGACTTACTCATCTTCCCCTCCCTCTCCCCAAACAACCAACATTGTACCACCCAGGCAAACTCCCGGCCGCGAAAGCTCTCGACGACGACACGCCGTCTCTGGAGGAGGAGGCAGGCTCGGGCGGCGGTGGGAACGGGCTGTGGCAGTTCTTGGCCAGAGGCGTAGCGGCGCTCGCGGTGCCCGACACGAACCCGGAGGTGCTGACGGAGGCGGCGGCGGCGGCGGCCGAGGAAGCGGCGGCGGCGGCGGTGGCGGCGGCCCTCGGTGCCGGGCCTGTAGTGGTTGGCGGCGAGCCTGTGGATGACGGAGATGCGCTGTCGTCGGCGTCGTCGCTGCTGCGCATGGAGGAGGAGGAGGAGGAGGAGGAGAAGGGCGGCGGCGAAGGAGGGGAGGAGCCGCGGTATGAGGAGGAGGAAGGTGGTGCTGGTGCTGGTGGCGCGGGCTACGAGTTCTCCGACTTCGACGAGGAGGACGAGGAAGAGGGCATGATGGTGGACGTGATGAGCGCGATCATCGAGGGGGAGGCGGAGGACGAGTCGGAACGGTCGTCCTTGTCTCCGTCTTCTACCGCTTTCCGCTCAAACGGTAGCAACAACAACAACAACAACAACAACAACAATGCCCACAACTACGACGACGACGAAGGCCTCAGACCCGAGCGGTCCGGAGAAGAAGAACAAGCTTCGGACCCCGCCGAGCGAACAGGTGGCCACGAAGAGCCCGTCGGAGGCGGAGACAACGATTACCAGGGAGGCAAGCAAGAACACGCTGCTGCTGCTGCTTCTGCTGCTGCTGGTGATGATGATTATGAAGATGACTCTGACGAGGAGGTGTGGGTGTGGTCGCCGGACGACGTCGAGATGCGAAGCGAGTTCAGCAGCATGCCAGGCGGCAGCAGCATCCGCGGCGACAGCACCAGCTTCCACGGCGACAGCAGCGTGCGCGTTCCGGGGAATGATGACCTCGAGGAAGAGGAGACCGACGTCGACGAAGACATGCCCGTCACCAAGCAAGAGGGTCACCGCAGCAGCAGCAGCAGCAGCGTGGATGGCAACGGCGGTGAGGGTGGTGCCCGCGACTCGGCGTGCGAGGTTCTGCCGATGAGCATCGGTGCCCGCGCTTGCGGAGACTCGGCGTGCGAGGTCCTGCCGAGGGAAGGAGACGACGTGGTCGAGCGGGCCCATACCATTGAGAAGAAGAGCGAGGAAGAGGGGAGACAGAATCAGCAGGTAGTAGAGGTGGTCGATGCGATGGAGGAAAGACGCCTGGAGCAGCAGCAGGTGGTGGTTGAGGAGGTCACCACGGAGGAGGCGGTGGCAGAGGCGGCGGGGACGGTGTTGGTGATGACCGACCCGAGCCGAGCTGCTGCAGGAGAGGAAGATGGCTCGGACGATGCTAACACCATCTCCACGCCCGCAGTCGTTACCGCCGACAACGCCGCGATCGCCCCCTCGCTTGAAGACAGCAGTCCCGAGGAGGTGGAGGAAGAAGAAGAGGAGCAGCACAGCAGTGACCAGCAGCAGCAGCAGCTCCTGGCTCGCGACAGTTGCAGCCGCAGCCGCGCCGGCAGCATCAAGGGTGGCGATGTCGAGTCCGTTGCCTCGGACTATCAGTGCGGAGGCGGCGGTGGCGGCGGCGGCGGCGGCGGCGACGGCGGCGGCAGCAGCAGCGACAACGCCAGCAGTGACTACCAGTCTGACAATGACAACCACAAGGAAGAGGATCAAGATGGCAACGACAACGACAACGACGACGAAGGGGAGGAGGACGACGTTTTCACCAAGTTCGACAACGAAGCAATGCCCATGGCTGCCGTGCCGACAACGGCGACAACAGAATCAGAACCGTCCGCCGAGGGTGCTCCATCATCACCAAGGGGCGATGCGGCGGCGGCAGGGAACAAAACCGGCGAGGGCGCCGGGGCGGGTGGCGTCTGGGCCGACTTCGGGTGCACGGATGGGTACGGCGATGGGTACGGCGACAGCGACGCCGAGAGCGAGTACACACCAGAAGAGGCGATCGAGGTCCTGCGGAAGGCGGCCATCAGGTACTCCACCGCCGGGAGGGCGGTGGCGGGGGGGCTCCGCGCCAGCAGCGCCGGGGGGAGGAGCACGGGCAGCCTCAGGAGCTTGCTGCAGCAGGCGGCGGCGGAGGAGGAGGAAGAGGAAGAGGAAGCTGCTACTGGAGATGGGGATGGAGGAGGGAAGGGAATCAGTACTCCTGTCCCGTCTCGTTGGTCGTCTGCCCGCTCTCCGCTGCTTGTCGCCGCCGAGACCGATAATTGCGGCGAGGAGGAGGGAGGCGGGGAGCAGAGGGAAAGCCCGGAGAGTATGCTCAAGATGGAGAAGAGCTTCAAGAAGGCGTGCGGGATTCTTGGTGAGTTGTTGTTGTTGTTGTTGTTGATGTTATTGCTGTTGTTAGTTCGAGCTCGGGGTAGGGGGGGGG